GTCTGGCGCCTTGGGCCTCTGACAGCTCACTGCCGCCCCGCCGCGGGCGCCCCCCCCCCCGGCCCCGCGCGCACGTGCTCAGGGTCCCACCTGCAGGGGTCCGAACAGCATGGGCAGCACGTCGTGCCTGAACTGCGCCACGAGGCTGACGATGTACTCGTTGTTCCACAGGAACAGGGAGCGCTCCGCAACCTGGGGTCGAGGAGTGTGTTTGCGTGTATGTGTGAATAGGTGTATTGTGTTTGTGTGTGTGTGTGTGTGTGTGTGTGTGTGTGCGCGCGTGCGTGTGCGCGCTTTAATTGTGTTGCAAGAGGTGCGTGTGCACGCGAGAGGGCCGAACAACGCCGGATGGGTAAGGCTACGGGGCCACGAAGACGCGGTGCTGGCGTGCCACCCCGGCCGCTGCCCTGACAGCTGCGCCCCGACCCTTCTACCCTCGCCCCGCAGCACACCAGCGCCCTGCCGCCAGCCCCAGCCCTCCCCACAATGACTGGTGCTGACCTGGAAGTGGGCGCTGGTGAGGCACCGCGCCAGCTGGCGGAAGAGGGGCACCAGCACGCGCTGGAACTCCGCCGGCTGAGTCAGCTCCAGGATCTCCTCCAGCTCCCCTGGGGGTTCCAGGGCGGTTGCGGCGGTTACAGGCGATTGGGGGCGGTTGCCGGCGGTTGCAGGTTGCTGTCGGCCGCGGCTGGCTTGGGCGCGGGCGGTGATAGCCGACTTTGACCGGAAACCACGTGCGGGTGCTGTGGAAAGCCGGGGTGCCTCCCAGGAACCAATTTGGAGATCCTGGTAGCCGCGGCAGACGCACAGACTGTTCAGGCGGGGCCAGGCCGCCACCACTGCCGCCAGAGGCTGCCGCAGCGCACGAGTCGGCCCGCCCGTAAGGGGATGGCGGCAAGCAGCAGGGAGCGCGGGGCGGCCCTGCGCGGCGCAGATGACGCGGCGCCGATGATGCGCCGCCGTTTTCGAGGCCGCCAGCGTGGGGCGGGGTGCTCAGAGCTCACCGAGGAAGAGCACCTCCTTCTGGCTGTTTGTGAGGGGCCAGAACTTGAGCAGCTGCAGCAGCACGGGCTCGGCCAGCTTGGGGTCCTTCTCCACAAACTGCGATGAGCAAACGTCAATGGAGTTTTGAGGAGTGGATAGACAAGTTTCAAATTAGGGTTTGACGAGCAGGACGTTGCCAGCCTCGGGACCTTCTCCACAAACTGCAATAAGTAAGAGTGGATTCATTGTTTGTTGGTGAACAAACAAGTGTCAAATCAGGGTTCGATGAGCGGGGCAGTTCTAGTACACTGGTTGTTAGGTGGATTTCTACTTGGCTGGTTTGGAGCTCGTTGGGTGTCGATCGAAAGGGGTGCGGCAGTGCACCTGTGCTGACCAGTGCACCGAGATGAGTTGTGACCGCCGGCGCCCTCACGCCCTCGGCCCGCGCGCAGGGGCCGCCCCACGAGCCTTGTTTGCCCACCGTCCCCAAACCCGGCGTCCTCCCCGTCTGGGCCGGCCGTGAGAGTGCCGGCTGATACGTGCTTGAAAGCACTCGCGCGTGCGGCCGGCGTGCCTGTGCAGGCCGCCGGTGATGCTCAACAGCTGCTTTCAACCCCCACGCCTCACCTGTCGCGGCCAAGCCGCCCTGCCGCCTCACGACGAGATGAAACACGCTTCATGTCCCAGAAGACAACCAAACATCAACATCGATATCAACAGCCCCGACCCCATCCCCCGGGGCCTCACCTCAACCCTCTCCCGAGGGCCGCCCCGACAAAACAGGCATGGGCAAGCGCATGCCTTGCCCCGGCCTCAACCCCCAGGCTGACGTGGGCGACGCCGCGGGCTAGCTGGTGGTACGACACAGGCCGCCCTCATTCCCACCCCACAACCGCCATCCCCC